TTTCTTTTCTCTCACTCTCTTATTTTTCTTTCTTTTCCTCTACGTCTTTCTCTTTTTCACTCAAACTTTCATTGATAATTACTTGACATTCCTCTCTAGAGTTAGCTTTCAAGTTACTCCCAAGATCGTCCAACTTCTGAATTATGAACCTACACTACACCTTCATCCTTTTGCATGTTGCTTGAGTGTCATTATGATGAGACTTAGACATCTGTATGAATTGTTGAAGCGTGTCATCCATCTTAGCCCATCTTTCTGATATAGAGGGTTGTTGTTGCCATTGTTGTTGTCCGATAACTTGTCCAAATTGACCTGGTCCCATGTTTGAGTGAGGTTCCCACTAGTGGTTGAAATTATCTTGGTGGAATTGAGTCTCCATATAGTTAATTTCTTGTCTGAATTGCATCCTGCAAGCACTAGACACAAAACCCTAGAAAATATTGTTAGCACAAAAACAAAAATTAAAAATTAAATGACACAAAACAAAAAATTAAAAATAAAAATAAAAATAAGAAAAATAAAAATAAAGTAAAAATTAATCAAGAATCACACAAATAGAATAGTTTAAACTGTGAGTCCCCGGCAACGGCGCCAAAAACTTGTTGACAATATTTTGATCCCCAGCAATGGTGCCAAAAACTTGTTGATGGATTGGCAAGTGTACAAAATCGCACAAGCAATATAAAATGGTAAGACCAAGTTTCGTATCCTTGAAGACTCTCGGCACTAGATAGTTGTGTGATAACTCGATTAATTAGAACTTAAATAAAACGAGATTGTTGGTTTCAAATGCAAAGACATAAAATTAAATATGAATGCAAATTGATCAATAGTAGAGTAACACAAAGATGAACGGATGTTGTTTAATATGAGATGAATATGATGATAGGGTTTGATTTCACCAAGTTTACTCTCATATATATAAGAATTCTTATTTTTACATTAATGTTAACGTCACTCACTAAATTACTTAGAACCCGATCCCTCGGCGCAATAAGTTTGCCTTAATTCCTAGTTCGGCAATTCCTAGCATTCCTAGAAAATTAAGTCTGAAGATCAAGAGCTTAAGACGACCAAGTACTCATACCCTCATCCATGAGAAATATTAACCTTGGGAGAATTCAACAAGAACCTGAATTGTAAGGAACCTCCCGGCACTCATGCAATTCATAAATCATGCTACTAAATGAGTTAAATAGAGCAAGCATTAAAACAAATGAATTCCCTAACAATTAAGAAAAAAACATATAAATTAAGAATCAATTCAAATACATGAGAGTTCACAAGATTACATCATTCCCCAACAACAAATAGAGTTTAGTTAGTTCCTCATAGACATGGAGAAACTAGATGAATAATGGAAAAGCATGAGATAGTGTAACCCTAAGAGTAGAAGAGGAAGCTCCCGCCTCCAGATCCTCTTTTAGATAGTAGAAGAGTGTGTTGTTGTGTTGCTCCAGCCAGAGATACAAAACCTAGAGCGCCTGGGTCCTTCAAATAAAGTCGGAAAAGAGTAAAAACAGGGCCCGGTCCAAAAGAGTCGAAACAGAGCAAAAACTAGGCCTAATCCATGACGTACGTTGCTCGGGCGCCCCACTTAGGGCGGCCAGGCTGTGGACGTCGATTTCTGGTGCTCAAGCCTCCAAACAGGGCGCCCAAGCCTCGCATACTGCATTCTGATTGACTTTTCTGCACTCTAGTTGACGTTTCTGCACTTTGGTTGACTTTTCTGCACTCTGGTTGAATTTTCTGCATTCCAACTATTTGGTACTTTAATTCTTCTTTCAAATCATTCTAATAGCCTACAAAATCAAGGGAATTTATTAATAAAATCATTAAATATAACCTCAACTCTCTTATTCACAAAACTAAAGCAAAAACATGATTCCAAGCAAGTTTCTAAGCATAAAAGGGTGCATTTGGTATCAAAATTACATCACAAATATCCTTATTTTAAACTGTTATCATTGAGCGCCAATTTCGTTGGCTTTGACCTGTTTTCTGTTATTTTTATGTTCTATTTAAGGACTTGGACGTTCTAGGGATTGTATCTTTGCACGGAATAAGCACAAAAACACACTATTTGATCCCTCGGAGGCGGATTTGGATGCGGAAGCTCCTATCTTCCACTTCTAGGGTTTTATCTTTCCTTTTTTTTCCATTATTCATCTAGTTTCACCATGTCAATGGTGAACTAAGTTATATTTGTTGTTGGGGAATGATGTAAACATTTGTAAACTCTCATGTATTAAATTGATTCTTGATTATATATGCTTGTTTCATTAATTGTTAGGGTAATTCTTCTTCGCTCATTGCTTGGTTTGTTTAACTCATTCATTAGCATGATGTATGATTTGCATAGTACCGGAAGGTATCTTACAATTCAAGTTTTGGAGAATTATTCCCAGAAGCAGTATTGCTCAGGAATGGGGGTATGAGTTATGGTTGTCTTAAGCTTATGTTCGTAAGAATTAATTATTAGGGATGACGAAAGATGTTATGATCTATAAATAAGGATAGGCTTTCTTCGCTGAGGAATCGGGTTTTTAGTATTTTAGATAGTGACATTGACATTAATGAAGAAGTAGAATTTGTATATACATTAGAGTAAACTAGGTGAAATCTAACCCCAACAACATATTCATCCCATAATCTCAAATCGTTCATCTTTGCACTTTTATCCAATTAATGAAATTGCATGCATATTTACTTTTATGTATTTGCATTTTAAACCAAAAGATCTTGTTTTTAAGTCTTATTTAATCAATAAATCACATAACTGTTTAGGCTGTGAGTCTCTAGGGAAACGATACTTGGTCTTACCATGTTTATTACTTGATATGATTCGGTACACTTGTCGGAGTCTTAACAGTTACATCTTTCCCAACAACAAATGAGTTTAGTTCTCCATAGTCATTGAGAACCTTGGTGTTCAATGGAATGAAAGTGAATCATACGTTAGGTAGTGGCAATCCCCACTGATGTTGTCCTTAACAATTTTGTTAGAGGACAAAGCCTCCTACAAACCAACCACATCACCATTCAATGTCGATGCCACCATAGAGCTAGCCTCACCATCGTTGGTGTAGGGAACGTCGTAGTTGATGGAAGAGGCAATGGTGGCGTTCTCATCGCATGCGACCATAGTCTTCTCTCCTTCAAAAGATGTCTCCACCTTTTATCGTTGGGATTAAGGTCATCGTTGATGAAATCGTTTGACACTACTTTGTTGTGCGCGACGATGGTGGCAATTCAAGGCTAGAGCTCACAATGAAAGTTCGATTGAACTCGTTATTTGTTATAGTGAAACTGTGGTGGTCAATAACAAGGTTTGGCATTATGGTGAAGCTGATGCTGGTGCACGATTATTGTCGATCTACGTTGGCGAGGTGTAGTTAAATGGTAGCTTGATGGTGGCAACATCGATTAAGTGGGTTTGCTAGGAGAATATGGAGATGAAGATGATGATATGGCAACCTAACATTGGTCAAATTTGTGAGTGATGGATAAATTCCATTTGTTAGTCTTTGGTTTTCCAAATTGAGAGAGTTAGGATACTACCATGTGACAACTTCTGATTGGCTAGCTTTATGAGTGGAGATTGCTTAAAAAGTGGAGTGTATAAGTAAATTATGGGGTGTGAAATTTTTCTAGAATTTGCTAATTTTGGCCTTATTTTGAAGGTGTTTTATAACTTTAATTTGTTTATTTTCAAACATTAGAATATTGAAGAAAATGTTTTATTCAACTAAAAAGCTATTTTTGAAACATTTTTATTCAACTTTCAAACACTCCTCGCCAATAGCAGAAGAGGTGGGAACGATGTTTGATAGGGTTGACATGTTGCCATCTTCTTATGACTATCCAACATTTGGATCATGATGTTGTTGAACTTGTTCCTTCTTAATGTAACCACCATTGGAACTTATAACATTTATTGAGGAAGACATTATTAAAGCAAAGGAAAAAAGCTTTTTTGACACTTATTATCCAAAAACTTATAATAAAATCATAATGTATAAATGCTCATGGTAGCATTGGTAGCATGGGTGAGATAATTATCAATAATCATGATCTCATGTAAAGATAATATAAAATGTGGAGGCAAGATCAAATTTTACTTGGGTCCTCAGTAAGTGTCAAATGTTCTTATGGTTAGAATTGAACCCCTCGTGTTCCAAAAGAAGAAGATTCACTTACAAAAGATTTTTTGACACTTAATTAATAAAAGAGTTCAAATCTTTATCCTAAAAAAGAGAGTATGAGATAATTATGTTCATTTTCTAGTGAAATGTTGTGTTATATAAAATGTTACCAAAATTTTTAAATTATTAAAAAAATATATTAAAATTAAAAATATATGATTATATAAAAAGTTTGAAAATGTTACAAATTAATAAAATCGATTAATGAAATTATTAAAAAATTAAAATAAAAGGTTATATATATATATATATATATATATATTAAAATTTAGAAAGATGAAAAAGAATTAAAGAAAAAAGAAAAAGAGAAGTCGTGCATAAAGAAGATGACATCTGTATAAAAAAACATAAAAATAATATAAAAATTAAAAAGTCATCATAACTATGTATAATTTCAGTGTTTTTTATTTACGGAAGAAATCTCATCACTTCTACTATCTAAGTGAAACAGAATTTGCCCACCTCTTCCATGTTTTTAATTAAATATATTATTAAATATAATTATATTACACGATTCATCTCCACTTATCTCAAGTTATCTGTATCACTTCTTCCCAATAATATTGTAGCATATAGATACATACATTCACCCATAGATGTAACCTTTTTAAAATTAAACCCAGATCCGTCATTTTAAAATCAAATTAACTGCTATTAAAATTGAAATAAAAAATTATACATGTTCTAAACATAGAATCTGGTACTACAGGAGATAAACCGGCACGTGAAGGAGACACGTAGACGAACACATTGACACAGCGAGGGACACCTCTGAAGAAGAAGGAAAAAAAAAACGCACAAATGGCATTGCGTCATATACCATTCTTCTCTCAGACACTTTCTCTCACCTTCACTTCCAAACCCAAACTAAACAACAATAACAAAAACCGTTTCTCCTTCTTCACTCCCTCACTCTCTTCCACTGCTCTCATGGCCACTTCTCACAAGGTCTTGCTTCCAATTGCAGAGGGCACCGAGCCCATGGAAGCTGTCATAATCGCCGACGTCCTCCGCCGCGCCGGCGCCGACGTCATAGTCGCCTCCGTCTCCGCCAGCCTTTCCGTCCTAGCTCGCCACGATGTCAAGATCATCGCAGACGCCCTCGTCTCGGATGTCGTCGGCACCTCGTTTGACCTCGTCGCAATCCCTGTACCTCTCCTTCGATGTGTTTTTCTAGAGATTGTGTTCAACGTTGATAATCGAATTTAAGACGTTTTCCATTAATCGATTAGCTATTAGTTGTGCATTGAATTGTTATTTAACGTCATGGATTGATTGATTTAATTCAGATTAGTCTATCGTTGAGTTCATGAAGAGTGTCATGCATGTGTGTGTCGTTCAATCACAAGTATGATAATGATTTCTCATTAATTGACTGTGTAAAAAAATTTACACTGACAAAGCATCACTATTAAACAGTTTTTAGAAGGTAAGAGGTAAACACTGGCGTTTAAAATCTTAGGGACTAATATGCTGTTTACTAATTATTATTGTTGTGATTTGTGCGTGTAGGGAGGGATACCGGGTGTTGAAAATCTAAGGGACTGTAAGGTTTTGGAAGGGTTGGTGAAGAAGCATGTGGAGGAAGGACGCCTTTATGCTGCGGTGTGTGCTGCTCCTGCGGTAGTGCTTGGGCCTTGGGGTTTGCTGAATGGATTGAAGGTAAGGTTTGCTTTGCAGTCCACTTTGTTATGTTGTGTTGCTGATGGTGATGGTTTTGGTGACTCTGTGTGTGTGGTGGTTGGACAGGCCACTTGTTTTCCTACATTGATGGAGAAATTGGCCTCTTACGCAGCCACTACTGTCGAGTCTAGGGTGCAGGTGGATGGGAAATTAGTGACCAGTCGAGCGCCGGGAACTACCATGGAGTTTGCTGTTGCGCTGGTTGAGCAGTTAATGGGAAAAGTGAAAGCAGAAGAAGTTGCTGGCCCTCTGGTGAGGATTTCGTTCGTGCCTTGACAATTCTCTTGTTTTCTAAATGCAGAAAAATGTAGTATACACGAACCTGTTGCATTTCAGGTGACTGGTGGGTGGAATTAATCTAAACTATATAATTATATGTGGGTTATCAGATTAGGTTGAAATGATATTGATCATCACCAATGTAAATGGTCCTGATTAGTTCTTCTCTCCTGTCATGCTATCACCTGATAGCTTGATACCCTTTTTATATCTACAAGGTTGGTGTCTGCTTATAACTGATAATATGCTTAATCTGTCAGTATCCGGGGGAATAATCTGGGAATTAATATGGTTGGAAAATCCTCTCTGACATGTTTTGTGATATTTGAAAAAGAATAGATATGTGTTTGGTATTTGAAGATAATAATTCGAGGAAAAGAGTTCGATATATGAACATATTTGAGGCTTGGTCTACATGTCAAAGATGAATTTGCTGCTGAAACCAGGCAGAGAAAAATATACTCAAAACAAAAGCTGTTGTGATTTATGATTAAGGTCTTATTTGTATAAGTTCCTCCATAAATATTAATAGAAGTAAAGAATTAGATGGTGAAATGAATTGAGGTTCTCCCAAGAGCTAAACCAACTCATGCACTTCACTTTGGAAAAATTAAAAGGAGTGCTTCTTTAAAAGTTAAGTGCTTGAGTTTATCCAAACAAGGTCTAATATTGTAAATTGTCCGAGCTGTTGCGATTAATTGCAAAAGATGGATAGTCGTGGAATTCAAACATCGAGTGTTCATAATTGGATGAAGCTAGATGTGCTTTGCTCTGCACTACCAATGTGTGTTAAAAAAAATGTGACACAAATAATTGGACTCTTCAATTCACTATGGTTATTTTCATTGAACCTTGACACTCTTTAATAGGTGTAGATAGAGCTTTGAACCAAGTATAAATAATAAAAACTAAAAACAAAATATATCAACTGACTCAAAATAAAAATAACTACTTAATCTATTTCTATCTTATACGAACAAAATAAAATAATATTGCACCTAAATAAATGAAAATAAAAACTATCTATCTCTATTTTTTCTCTCTCAAAATCAAACTAAATATTACTAGACTCAAACTAATAAAATAAAACTCAAACAAAATTACTAATAAACCCCTAAAATTTAAGTTTATCCTAACAAAACACTCCATAAACTTAAATTTTTCATCCTTTATTCGGCTTTTCAGGTGCATCATCCAACATTGAGCTTGTTTCTTTCAATCAAATTCGAGTTATTCTTTTTCCTTTTGGCCCTCTTGTCTTTTACCTTGGTTGACCTCTTTAATGCTTTGATTTTCTTCTTGTATACTCACTTCACACCAATTGGTCGAGCTCCTTTGGGTAAATCCGTCACCTCCCACGTTTTGTTGTTTTCAATTGAGCTGATCTCCTCATCCATAACTTTCTTCCATCTTTCATCAAGCACGACTTCTTCAAATTTTACATCTTCTGCACCTATTAACAAACATGCTACATGTACCTCATCAATGGAGTTATCCAAGCTCTTGCTAGTCATATATTGCTTCAAGCACCTTTTCTGCAAGATCTTCAGCCCCAATTCATACAACTGATTTTTCTTCGCTTTTACATGGGCTGCTAGACGACCATGCTTATCCCTTAAATACAATATCTGGTCCTTCACAAAAACTGAATTACCTTTTTCAATTATCTGACCCATTATTAAAATATTGCTCTTCAACTCGGGAACATAGTAAATGTCCTTAATCTCTCCAACTTGTCCATCCTTTTGCATATGCCGGATTGTTCCACACCCTTTCATGGCCACCTTGGAGTCATCTTCGAAAGACACAAATTTGTCCTTCACCTTGGTGAGTTTATCAAAGTTCTCATCTCAACACATATGGTTGCTAGCTCTAGTATCTAGATACCGTACCGAGTTGGTAGAAGTCTACTCAGCCTTTGATTTCAAGCATGGTCCAAGATGAAAAAGATTAGAAATGATATGGGTCGGTAATGTTAGGGTTATATTTCATCGACTTCACTCATGCATTTAATCACTCAACTCTTTTCCATTATAATGCCAAAGTTAACCGACAAGTTTACTCAAACCCTAATTCCTTAGTAGAACGAGCATAGGTTTCTTTATTAAGAATCAATCCCTTGAACCCTAATAAACAAACCTATTTTAGTAACTAGGGTTTAAGACAATTAATGAATCAAGCTCTAGTCCTAAATACAAGCTTTATTAGGTATCTTGTTTTCCAATACCTAATGAACCAAGTATCAAGCTATGGGTGATCGAACCAAAGCATTAAGCACAAATACAAAAATAGGAACATTCAATGGAAATAAAAAACAAATTCTATCACATATAAGATACGCTTATTGGTAATGTATGAGCGAACTGTTGCACATGGGTGCATTGGGTCTTCTACTACTGAATGTTTGAGATGCAATAGAAGTGCTATTTTTTAATGCTTTATTATATCAGATCCTTGCTATGATGTAAATTATTTTCCTTTCTCTCATCAGGTTTGTGGGTAATTGAATGTTCAGGTCATGCGTTCCAAACATGATGAGGAAAATACTTTCAAGGAGTTTAACCCAGTGCAGTGGACATTTGACAATCCACCCAGGGTGAGGTGTTGACATTTTTGCTGTAGAATTTCTGTGTATTGACAAGAATATCTCTGAACGGAAGCTGGTCTATCATTATTTTGAATTTCGTTTGAAGGAGTTTGTATACACCCTTCAAATTTAAATTTTATCATTGGTATTTGCACTCATCTTCTTTTCAGATTCTTGTACCAATTGCTTATGGTTTTGAGGAAATGGAAGCTGTGATTATCATTGATGTTTTGCGAAGAGCAAAGGCAAATGTTGTGGTTGCTTCTGTTGAGGATTATCTAGAGATTGTGGCATCACGAAATGTTAAACTGGTGGCAGACATGCTCCTTGACGAAGCAGCCAAACTTTCGTATGACCTTATTGTCTTACCTGTAAGATGTCTTCTTATTTTTGTCCAAGTACTGAATTAGTACATAACATTTAGTTTACGTATATATTCAATTTTCTACAGGGTGGACTTGGTGGTGCCCAAGCATTTGGAAACTCAGAAACCTTGGTGAAATTGCTGGAAAAACAAAGAGAATCAAACAAATATTATGGAGCAATTTGTGCATCGCCCGCCTTAGTCTTAGAGCGCCATGGTTTGCTCAAGGTATCTGTTTTCTGGGTCAATCCATGATCCTAAGCATGATTTAGTAAAATGACAATATACGTGCAATTCTCTTAGTTGCATGTAACTTGATATAAGTGCATTTGGTTTGGTTTTCTGTAATCAATTTTGTCACTTGGCCTGCAACAATCAGCAGGGTTTAGAAAAACATGCCTGGCAAACTGCACATGATGTTCACGTTCATTTAGATACTCTCTGTGGCTAATTCCCCTGTGGAGTCTTCATTCTAATTATTTTGTGGTTATAAAATGCTTGCTTGCCCTAAATATTTCCTTAAACTTTATTTCAAATGTATGCTTTTCCGATTGCTCCATGGTGTTAATTCGAGATATGGTTCTCTATTTTCTTCAATACAGGGTAAAAAGGCCACTGCCTATCCTGCAATGTGCGACAGGTTATCTGATCAGAGTGAAGTAGAAAACAGAGTGGTAGTTGATGGGAATCTCATTACCAGTAGAGGCCCAGGAACCTCCATTGAGTTTGCATTAGCTATTGTGGAGAAGCTGTTTGGACGCCAGTTAGCTCTAGAACTTGCAAAGGCAGTAGTGTTCGCGCGCCCGTAGGATTTATGAATGCGAAGCCTTTTGTACCGACGCATTATTATATATTTGTGTATGAATAATTGAGTATTTGTCCTTGGCTGGTTCCCTGAGTTGTAAAAGAACGCGAAGAAAGCAGTTGTTGGTAACCTTGATTTCTCTTTGGTAGTTGCTTTTCATATGTTGTGGAATCTAAATTACTTAAAAGAAAAATATATTTCACTCACAACCCTTATTAGATAACCTTATTATAATAATATTAATATATATGTCACATTAGACTTGTCAAGATAGGATAGGTAATTTATCACTATTCTTGCTTAAGTGGAAGGGGAGTTCCACTGGATCTATGCTGTGGTTATAAAACTGGTTTAGACAGGGAAATGTTAATTTTCTTTTTTGTTTTTGGTTGAATCTATACATTTTACCTTATAAATTAAAATATGCAACTTAGGGCTAGGCTCAGAGTTATATTGCATTTACTTTTTTGGTTGTTTTTGTTATTTACTTTGCAATTCCAAAAATACTGTCAAGACACCTGATATTCTATCTGTTTCTGAAGTTTTTTGCTAGAGTTTGAGAAAAAGTTTCTATCTGTTTATAAAGTTTTGTACTAGAGTTTGAGAACAAAATGTTTTCAATTTTTTCTGAACAAACATTTGAAATCAGGAAACAATTTGAAAGTAGGCGATTTTGTTGTAAAAATAGTAATAAAATGAAAACATGAAATAAAAATGCATAGTTTTAATGAGACTGCAGGAATAACACACCCCAGGGAAAAAATTGCCCATTCTGTTCATGGTATACACTGGAGTTTTGAGGTAGCAAAGGTGAGTCTGTGTTAGGAGTTAGAAGGTGTACGAGTGATTATCCTAACTCGGACAACAGGATAAACAGAAAATATTTAGTAGTAATTACAGTAATTAGAACTATATTAGGAAGATATTCAGTATAAATTAATTAAAAAATATATCTTAGAAAGATATTCAGTATAAATTAATTATAATAAAAAAATTATATTATATTATTTAACATAAGTTAATTATAATAAATAGTATAATTTATAAATATAATTATATGTTAGGAAAATATTTAATATAAATAAAGTCTAAGGGCAGATTTTTAATTATTGAGGTTGTAGACAGGTAACTATAGTCCTCTGAGGGAAGTTATGTTCCCAACTATGTTTATTACTTTTGTTTATTCAATTATCATCAAGAAAAGAAATTCATTCAGTTACTTCGATTTTTTGTGAGAGTCGAGTGTTATCTTTTTATCTACGTGGTTAGTTACGTCTTCTTCTATTCGGATACGTAACAGTTTGTGACTTGTATTTGTGTTACCAGATTTCCACCCGTCATAATCTGAACTGACATTGAATATTCAATCCGTCCATGATGTTTGGATATGAGTTAGATATTCAATACATATGCCCTGTTATGTTCTGTTTATAGTGGTCTGCAACTACATTTTCGGAATGCATTGGTTACTTTCCGGTTGTTGGTAAGTGTACTCGTTTTTTGCAGTGAAGAAAAGAAACTGAATGATCATTTTTAGTTTCTATCGTTCTCTTTCTTGAGTTAATAGTTAAAGTATACACTGTTTGGCTTCGAATAGAAAGCACCGTAAATATTGCGTGCAAATATGGGGCATTCATAGCAGTATGGAAAATTCAGAAGAATCAGAAAAAATATTGATAGCCTTTTTTTTATTGGTACAAATAGTGATAGAGTTTTACTGCATGTAAATATGAGCTATGCACTATCATTGGTTAAAAAACAATAAAATCCATGGAAGGACTGTAACGAGTACCTAATACTATTTTCTTGTCCTGTAGCATCTGAACCAAAGAATAAAAAAGTTAAGCACTCTGTATCCCACTATGAAACTCAACATTACAGGCAAATTGCTCCATTTTTGTGAATCTTTCAGACCCTGTTGTCTTAAGAATTCAACTCCATGTAGTATGCATTTTCCATTGCTAATTTCTAAGCACTTCGCCTTCCCTCTCTCCCCACCGTACTCATTAATCATAAGGCACTCAAATGGATACTTGAATAGGCTCAAATAGTGCATAAAAATCCAATAACTTGGTATTTTTTCCTCAGATATGAAATACCCTGAGAATAGAAAGAAAGACCCCATTAGACCTGCAATCACCGAGGTTCCCAGGATGAAATTTGGCACCAGAGCGCTGAAACAAGCCACAAGAGAATTGGACATGAGTAGAACCAACCAAACCACTAAGGAGAAGTAAAGGAAACCATCGATATCTTTCCTTAACCCTACAAGCCAATAAACTGGAGTAGAGTACAGAAGACCAACCAATAGAAGGAAGGGAAGGAACACAAGGGCATTAGCTAAAACATAGGAACAAACTCTATAAGCTCCTCCAGAGGTCTCTCTCATAAAAGTTCTTCTCTCCTCCAAGAAAATAGGCAAGCCTTCTGTTGTAGATGATAACAAAAAGGTAAGGCTGAAAGCAAAGAAGCCACTTCTTGTTTGCAATGCTACATGACTTTGTTGATTGCCAACATTGAAAAAAATGCTCCCCAGAATAAAGCCAGCTACTATGGCCTGTATGATTCTGGTGACAAACAATTGCTTGGTTCTGAATATGTTGCAGCAAAATCTTTGTCCCAGGATTGCAATCTCCTTCGTAGGAGAATTTGAATATGAAATTGCCTTTACTTTGACAACCTTAGAATGCTGCATTCTCATTTTATGATCTTGGTTCTCTTTGAGCAGAAACTGGTTGTCCCCAGATTCTGAAGTATGTATAACCAAGCTTTCCATGACATCAAGAGCAAACTCAAGGACATTGACATGGTCGGGAATGTGGTGTCCAGCTAACTTGAGTCTAGCTTCAAGAAGATTCAATGATCCATTATGCATCACAAATCCATCGGCCAGCAAAACGAGGCCATCAAACAGCTCTAAGATTCGGAAACCAGGTTGGTGGATAGTTAAGATAATTGTCTTACCTTGATTAAACGCCACAAGTCTAAGCAATGCGACTACATTAAGAGCTGATGCTGAATCCAAACCCGAAGTTGGTTCATCAATCAAAATAACAGCAGGGTCATGAACCAAGTCCACACCAATGGAAACTCTACGTCTTTCTCCTCCGGATATACCATGGTCTGTTCCACCTCCAATTCTTGAATCTGCAATATGGTCCAACCCAAGCTCCTTCATCAACTCTTCTACTCTGACGGCAGCAACTTTTCTTCCCCCAGGAAGCCTCAGCATGGCACTATACATTAGTGTCTCTCTAACAGTCAGTGAAGGGAATAAAGCATCATCTTGTGTCACATACCCTGATGTTCTTCTAAACCAGTTCACATCCATAGGCCTATGATTGACAAGCACATGACCAGAAACTTTATTACATGAGGGTATTCTCCCTGCAAGAATCTCAAGCAGTGTGGTTTTTCCAGCTCCACTAGGACCAGCAATAGCAGTCAGTTCCCCTGGCCTTGCCTCACAATTCACATCCTTCAAAATGAACTTGGCACCTCTCCCTGGACTGGAACCAAAACAAAGACTTCTATACTCATCAAGTTGGCTGCACAACTTGTATGACAAGTTTCTGGTTTCTATTCTGTATGGAGTTTTTCTGGTGCATGAGATTGGTCTGAATGGTGACCCCATTGTGCGTTTGATTGCATGCAAAGTGGTAGAAGAAATGCATGTATTGGCTATGTTATGTGAAGAAGAGGAGACCAGAGAGCAAGATAGGGAGATGAACTAACACACCAAACTGTGTGCCAGTTATAGGTTTTGTAATGCAAATGGGGTTTGACTCTTTGCACAAGGGGCTTGACTTGGTGTTCTCTTGTACTTCAATTGGTGTGTGGTATTTGGAAATAGTTTGGTTGAGTTACAGTGATTCAAGAAAGCCAAAGAAAGATAGAAAGTAAACGTAGAAAGGTTTTTCTGGTGAACTGAACATTGACTGTTCTGTGTGTGTGTTTGGTTGCCCCACCATCTTCCCCACATGCTGAAGCAAGCAACTCACAGTTTAGTTGGTGGAAGATCAAAATTATCAAATTCAGCTTTACAAGTTAACTGCAATTCTCTTCACATGATTCACCATTTTCTGTTTAAGTGTTGATAATTCTGCTATGTCAAGAATGGTAAACTTCACTTTTTAAGAAAAAAAATTGTATATTTTCTGTTCTAAACTTTATTTTTATCTCAATTATTACTTCAACTTTATCCTTTTGAATGTTAATTTATCTGCCTCGGAAAAATGTACTCCCTTTGACAACTTCAGCACCTGATTATAGATAAACTTAATTAAATGCCTCTTTAGGTGCACGTAATGTAAGAAGCTACTTTGTTTTACCCTAACCCTATATTTTAAATTGAGTTGGTATGAACAAAGTATAGTTTAGATCCCTTCAAACATAGAAAAATATTCCACGAGAAATACCTGTCATTTTACATTAAAAAGTTGGGAATTAGAAAAAGATAAATAAAAGACTAAAAAGCCCATAACATTGAATATTAAAATTATCCTTGTTATAAATTAGAAAAATAGTTTTTTAACAATTTTTTTATACCGTCTTTACAACGCTGACGTGTTAATTTGTGATTTGTCTGTTTATTTTTTTAAATAAATTCAAAAGACTAATAAAATTGTGACACGGAATTTATTGCCACAAAGTTATAAAAAAATGTTGTCAAATGTTAATCTTTTTTTTTTTTTTCATTTTATCTCTCAAATTAGATCAAATAATTATTCTGTTTCCATGATATTTCTTTTTTATATGATAATATGAGTTGTAAGGGTAGATATTTAGAAAGAAAAGAATTGAGAGTCACTTTTATATTTTTAAATTCTGAGAGTTTTGTGTTATTTTCAAAAGCAAAATAATGAGAAAACAACTCTTAATACATCATTTTATATCTTATATTATTAATATCATTAAAATGAGTTAAAAATATTTATGTAAAATGAAAATCTTTCTCAGTTCTTTTTCACATCTTAACATACTTTCAAGTATTTACTTTAAATTTCCTTTACTTTGACTTAAAAACATTTTTTATATGACCATGCAAAAATTTATTTGCTTAAAAATAATTAAATAGTATTTTTTTTTTTTGAAATAAGGATAAATTAGAGAATTATAAAATAAGTAAACAACTATTCAAGACATGAGAAATCAAAGGG